TCCTCAATTATTCAATTATTATAATCCGTGGCAAAGACGATTTTAATTAATGAAACACAACAATCAGCTTAAAATCTTTAAATCCACTCCAATTAATCAATTATGGCTACAATAACTCGTTTATGGTTAGATGAGTTTTTTTGTCCTTAAAACACATAGAAAAGATATTAGGTATTAGTAAATTTGTAAGGACAAATTTATCCATTTTACATAAATAGGGTGGATTAGTCATAATGGATTAATGGGATTGATATAGCAATACACTTAAATTATAGATTATGATCTCAGAAGTGTATATTGTGCTATAAATACGCCTTGACATGGTATGGTTTCAGTCCGATTCCAGTTCTGGAAATAGCGGCTCGGGTTTCGGTTTCTATCCAATTCCCAATTTTATTTAATTTTTTTGTATTGAATTTAAATAATGATATGGCTAAATTTTATGTCTAAATGTAGTTGTTATTTGTATAATAATGAAAATTGGATAGTACATAAGTATCCACTATATTTGATCTCATGACGGTTCAAAAAACGACAATATAAAGAACTGTAAAAAGACTTTCAAAAGAGCTTAAAAATCGCCCAAATTACCATTTCCCTCAGTGGTTGCATCCATGTAGTTTTACGTATCAATGTCATATCATGTCTCTTGTGCTCGACATCTTGCCTAGAGCTAATATCAGTTGCAAACAAGTATCTCCAGTGATTGAGCACTGAGGGAACTCCCGAAGTCGAGTGACTTGTTGCCGCTAAAACTAAACTATGGTTCCACGACTACCGTTGACACCGACATAAATAACACCTTTCTAGCTAGCATTGCAAGTGGCGGGAATATGTTTCAATTCATTTTGCTTCCACTATTCAAGAACGTGAAACTCATTTTCTTTATCTTCATCGTAAACACATGGGATGCCTAAGTACATCGCAAGTTTGTTGTGTAAACTTATTGTTGTACCACTTGTACTTCTAGAGGACAAGGTACTCCTACCTTTCTTTACCAAGAAGCCACCATGTATTCCTTTAAAATCTTTCCTTATCTTCGGGACAGGAGGGGCTTGTGTTTCTTCTGGAGGATTACCATACAAAATTTCAAATTCTCTATATAGAGACTCAAAAGGGTCAATAACATTATCCCTTTTTTTCTTCCATTCTATTAAATGCTCATAATAATAACTACTCTCATATACTACGTAAAAAACAACTAAAGTAATACTCCATGAGAATTTTAAAATTCTCAATCTTAAAGCATGGATTGTAACACCCCAACCCGCGTAACCCGAACCAACGAGTTATCGAGTCGGGTTGCTACTAATTTGGTATTCACATGCATAATATTTTGAAAAAATTTAAAATAAAACATACATTATATTTAATTAAAAACAATTCATAATTAATCGGAGTAAATAATTCAAACGTTGCGGAAGCTTTTAAAACAACAACGTCAAACATTCTTGTAGTTTAAACAAAATAAAAGTCAACAAGTATTTAATTCGATTTCAAACAGCATTGGGCCATCCACCAGCGTCACGCTTCACTGTTCTCCAGGCTGCTCCTCATTCAGTCCTTGATCTATACCTGTAAAAATATAGGGAGAGTGGAAGTATCTAACGCTAGAACTAACTCATAGACTAGCACCAACCAATATATAACCACACAATATCAGAAGAATTAGCAAATATCATTGCCGAATAACATGATCAACTATTTACTTATCTATATTCAGTTCTTGTTATTCTTCTACACTTAACCCTATAGGCTAAGGTTCCTTTTGACTAACTAAGTCGTGGACACTCGGACGGATCCCCCGAGGCCACGCTTGATGAAACCCAAAGAGAATCCTCAATGGGCGGGTTGGAGCCCCTACAAAGGAATCCCTAGGTAGGCTAATGACTCCCGTACGTACGTTTTTAACTCAAGATCCGTGAGTTATGCGAAGCTCGCCCACCAGGCCTAAATCCTAAATCTTAATCCTTATGAATTCAGTTTAACTCAAACCTTCCTAGATATACCAGGTGGCTTATTCCCATAATCCAATTTAATCACATAATTATCCTTGCTCAATTCATTAGTTTAAACAATGCATTAAATTAATTTGTAGTCTTTATTCATATTTCAGAGGCATAAAATAGAAGAGGGCCTAATTGCAACGTCTTGAGGATCATGGGGTCAATCTACAATTTTAGAAACTTAAATCCCCAATCTTATTGTCAAAACAGTACCCGCTCCCCATTGTCAACTCAGCCCAGCACGTCCTCCTCTTCTGCAAACTGGAACGCGCGACAGAGGAGACGGGCAGCTTTGTTATTCTTCCCCGGACCGGCAATTGCGGCGGCGACTGCCTCAAGGAACAGGCACAGCATCAACAGAAGGTTAGCGACCTGGCGGCAGTTACTCTTCAAACCAGCGGCGAACTTCTTGTCCAGCAGCGGGGTCACCGGCGACCCGAGCGGCAATCAGTACCGGCGGCGACCTCCATGTCGGAAACACAACAACGGAAATCCGACAGTAGCTTCGTCCCGCGTCGACAAGCCGGCGTGGCAGCAACCCTCGAAGATAGCAGCGGCCAGAGATCCAAATACAGAGCGTCAGAGCAGAACAGAACGAGGGAGAACAGAACAGATCGAAGGAGAAGAGAAATAGGCAGTAACGTTCCAATCCCAAATCCAAACTCAATCACCCAATTAATTCAACAATTCAACTCACAAATCCAACATCAATTGCACAAAAATATACTAACGGATCCTAATCTACGAATCAATTCAAACGAGAGATAAATCACTCACCTCGATTAAGGCCCCGTTCCGTTCAATTTATTTTTTCTTATTTTTTCTTATTCTTATTAAAATCAGATCAGACCAATTCTTATTAAAATCAGATTAGATCAGACCAGACCAGATTAGGTCGAATCAGATCAGATCAGATCCAATCAGATCAGATCTGATCCAATCAGATCTGATCAGATCTGATCAGGACTTATTAAAATCAGATCCCATCAAGAATTACTATTATTATCATCATCATCATCATCATCATCATCATCATCATCATCATCATCATTATTGTTCTTAAAAATGAAAAAGAATAAACTTTAGAAATAGGTTAAATAAAAAACTGAGAAAGTAATCCCTAATTATTAGACGTCGGAAAAATTAGTTTTAAAATACATTGACAATGTCAATCTAATTCTACTTTTAAAATATATTTTTACTGCTACTTGTAATTTGAGTTTCTAAAATTTTGATCTTTTATAAGGATGAGATATTTTAATAAAAATACTATCTCTTCTATATATTGATTATCTAAATTTAATTACTTTTTAATGTATATCTAAATTAAATATTTATTCTAATATATATATGAAGTAATTATTAAAATATTAAATTAATATTCTAATTTCACAAAAAAATAATCATAAAATAAAAAATATTATTACATTATAATTGTTGAAACACGGGCTTGTCACGTTTTCGTACTAAAGCCGTGTTTGTTTTTATGACAGGTTTTGATAATGCCAAACCGCCGTGATCAAGACACAAATTGAATATACAAGGCGAAGAACGAAGATAAGAACAAGAGCTAAACGAAGACCAAGAACGAAGACCATAGTCTTAGTATCGTTGAGTCCGTCTTTATTGTGATCAAGACCGACCCAATCTTTACACCTTGGCTCTTTAGGCTAAAATCTTTTCATTGCATTTCTTACATCATAAAAATGTTTTTCAAACATGTTTAAGTCATCAAAAACACTTGGTGGTCGCCCAAACCAAAAACCAAGCCATCCGGCGTTTGGCTTTCAGAAACCGGCGTTCGGCTTTCGGTTATCGGCGTTGGTTTTTGGGGTCCAAACCAACCAAGTGGTTTTCAATATTTTATGATTGGCTTTTACTTCTTGGCATGTTTAAACAGTTCTCCAACAAAAACACTTTGAAAACAACCTTTCGTTTTTGGTCGTTTGGCAAAAACCACGCAAAACGGCATAAACTTGGCTAGCCGTGGTTTTTACTCAAATGACGTGGTTTTTAAAGTGTCTCACTTGATTTCTTAGCCAAATACATCAAATAAGTGTTTTAAACACTTGATTTTTATTTTGGAGAACTTTGGATTTTTCGGTCGGTTTTTGCATCGGTTGGCTAGGTCGTGGTTAAGGCAAAAACCATAGGTTTTTGGCTAACCACCCACCCAACGATGGGAAGAACTTCCCATCGATGGGTAAGCGGTCCCTTAGCCAAACCAACTTCCAGAACCATGCCAAACAGCGATGGGAGGTTCTACCCATCGCTGTTAAAGCCTTGGTCCAACATCAACACAAGGCAGAACGACCTTACCTAGCGATGGGGACTTTACCCCATCGATGGGAAGGCTAAACCATCGATGGGAAGGCATGACCGTTGGAAGTCATTTAAGGTTGATTCTTTCCTTGTTTGGAAGTCAACCTCCCACCCAGCGATGGGAAGCTTGTACCCATCGATGGGTAGGTGACCGTTGGCTTCAAAACTGAAGGAAAATTGGCCTACCAGCGATGGGTAAGGTCCATACATTGCTAGGAAGCCAATATCCTGCAGATCCCAAATTTATTCAATCCCATAAATCAAGCCAATCACCCCTTTAATGTATTGGTCCGTTGGAGCCTATTTTGGCACTATAAAAAGGGGTGTTTGGGTCTGCTTTTCTCATCAAATTCACTTCACAATTCTCCTACTTTCATTGCATTCAAACAACATTCTTTTCATAGCTTTTTAGAGCCAATTCGTGTGAAGTTTGAGTTGTTCTTGAGCGTATTTAGTTTACTCAATAACTACTCTAAAAGAGAGTCTCGTTCTTGAGTGTATTTGTGTTCTAAGACACGTTGAGAGAAAGTATTTCTCTCGTTTGATTCGAAGGAAGGGCTGTTTCCTTCAAAGGTTTCGTTGAGGTTCGTGTGACTCGAATTCTCAAGTTGTAAGGGTTTGTTAAGCACCGTTAAGCTTAACGAGATAGTAGTGTAGCTCAAGAGAGTCTCTCGGGAGGCTGGATTAGCCACAAGTTGTGGTGAACCAAGGTAAATTCGGTGTTCCTCTTACTCTTCTCTTTACTTCTCTTTTAAATTTTTAATTCCTGCGATTTCTACGATCAAACGCTATTCACCTCCCCTCTAGCGTTGGTCTTTCATTCTAACAATTGGTATCAAAGCCTAACTTGTGTTCAAACTTAACCGTTTGAGAGTAAAGCGATCATGGGTTCTTCTTCTAGAAATCTTTATGCAGGAATTGGAGAAGGTCAATCAACCTCTAGGCCACCGCTCTTTGATGGCACCAACTACACATATTGGAAAGAGCGGATGATAATTTATATCCGCTCAACCAACTTCAAGTTGTGGTTGGTCATCAAAAACGGCGAAGAAACGCCAATGAAGAAGGTCGGTGAAAAACTCGTCCCAAAGACCGAGGACGAATTTGATGCTGAAGACATTAAAAAGGTGGAGAACTACGCCAAAGCAATCAACATGTTGTACTGCGCGGTCAACCCCGACGATTATTGCAAGATCTCTTGCTGTACCACCGACAAAGAAATGTGGGACAAGCTGGAAGTCACATATGAAGGTACGGACCAAGTTCGGGAAGCCAAAATCGACTTCCTAACGCAGGAGTACGAAATGTTTAGGATGAAGGAAGGCGAAAAGATAGATGACATGTTCGATCGGTTCTCAAAGATCATCAACAACCTTCATGCTCTCAAGAAGACTTACGCCAACAAGGATCTCGTGAGGAAAATCCTGCGGAGTCTCACACCCGAATGGAGATCAAAGGCTGACGCAATCTACGAATCCATCAGAGTCTCCAAAGTCACCATCGACGGGTTAAGAGGTAACCTCAAAACTTATGAATCTACTATTCTAACCCCGTATTTGGATGAACAAAAGAAGAAAGGAATAGCGCTCAAAGCAACCAAGGAGATGGTGGAAGAAGTCTCAAGCGATGACGACAACGAGTTCGGACTAGTCATCAAGAAATTCCACAAATTCATGAAAAAGGAATTTGAGTGTAAAGGAAGAAAGCACGACGGTCCCCCGAAGTGCTATGGCTGTGGCGAGAAAGGCCACATCAAGCCGAGGTGTCCAAAAGGCAAAAACGGCAAGGACAAATCCGGCTTCAAAAAGCAACGAGCCTATATTTCATGGGGTGGCGACTCCGGCGACGAGTCAACTGACCAAGAAGAGGAAGAAGCCGCCAACCTCTGTCTCATGGCACACGAAGACCACGCCGACGAAGTACAAGAGGTATGTACCACTTCTTCCGACTCTTACACTTTTGGAGAGATGCAAGAAGCACTTCGAGAGCTTTACGATGAATTTGTTAGCGCTTCTAAAACCAACAAATCATTAAAGAAACGTCTTTCAACTCTTGAAAATGATTTTGAAAAACTAGAAAAAGATAATGAAAAGTTGAAACAAGAAAATAAATTTTATGGCAAAAGAAGCGCTGACAAACCGGAAAGCTCTTCCAGCGAATGTGAATCTTGCAAAGCTTTAAAAGAAAAGGTTGCAAAACTTGAGTGTACGGTTAAGAAATTCAATACACCACACAAAGATCTTAACTTACTCCTTGACACTATGCATTTTTCTAAAGAAGGATTAAGTTTTGATAAAAATGAATTTAAGGATAAAAACGTCGAGCAAACACCTAGACAACCTCCTAAGGCTCAACGTAAGAAAGTTAAAAATCAGGATAATAGAAAATCTAGTCAACCTAAGGACACTAGACAACCTAGACAAAAACCTAGGAATGAAAATGTGCATGTTAGACAACCTAGGAAAAATTATCCAAATGACTTTGTGCATAAAAATAATTTTTCAAATAGACAAAATAATTCTAGGACACCTAGAAGAGAGAATTTTCAAAAACCAATATTTTCTCAAAATAGGATGAATATGGTTAGGCCCCCTAGCAACTATTATCAACCTAGGAGGATGCACAACCCAAACGTAGTTTGCCATTATTGCAACAGGGTAGGACATATAGCTCCCGTTTGCTTTACTAGGCATAGGCATTGGGCACAAAATGAATCACACTACCAGTGTGCACCTAACACTCAAGGACCCAAAAAGACTTGGGTACCTAAATCTTATTAAAGCTTTTTTGTAGGTGTGCTTGAAGGCTTCAAGCGTACTTTGGTACCTTGATAGCGGATGCTCCAAGCACATGACCGGAGATGCATCCAAGTTCCTACAAATCAAACCCGCTAAAGGAGGAAACGTAGTCTTCGGAGATAATAGCAAGGGAAAGATTATAGGCATCGGTTCGGTAGGTAAGTCCGAAGACTCCTCTATAGATAATGTCTTGCTTGTTAAGGGTCTTAAACACAATCTCTTGAGCATAAGTCAATTATGTGACAAGGGAAACCGTGTGACCTTCGATTCAAAATCATGCACGGTAGAACGCCTTAGTGACAATAAGGTCATTCTACGTGGTGATAGGATCGATAACATATATATGGTTAACTTAGACAAATCTCCTTCCGGCTTTGTTAAGTGCCTCATGAGTAAAGAGGAAGACACTTGGTTATGGCACCGAAGGGTAGCTCATATGAACATGAACCTTTTGAACAAATTGGTTTCACAAGACTTAATAATTGGCATTCCAAAACTTAAATTTGAAAAAGACACCATATGTGATGCATGTCAAAAGGGGAAGCAAGTTCGGGCTTCGTTTAAGTCTAAGAACGTTGTTTCAACGTCTAGACCGCTTCAACTTTTGCACATGGATCTCTTTGGTCCTTCTAGAACGAAAAGTTTTGGTGGTAATTACTTTGCGTTTGTGATTGTCGATGACTACTCTAGGTTTACATGGACCTTGTTTCTAACTCACAAAAGTGAGGCATTTCACGTTTTCAAAAATTTTCT